TAGAGTTATGAAACAGACTACCCATGAACGTTACCCTTAAGAGTCGATAACTTTGCGAAAACCCAAATTTAGGCAATCAAAGGTGGTGGATGTGTGATGATTTTTTATGGCTTAATTGTTTGTGAATTGGATATCTGATCTTTGTATGATAATAGGGGATGTTTGCTTAATAGAATAATCCATTTTAATTCATGTTTATTTTTAACATGAACTTTAGTAACTCAAAACCTTCGAGACACATATCACCACTGCATTGTATCATTTTGCCTGGGTGCTTGCTGTGTTGTCAAACTTCTTTGCTGCTGCTGCTGCATTTACACTAACAGGGGAGTTAAGAACCCATGAATGTTTCCGTTTGACACAAACAAGAGGACTTACTTCTAAATCGTGCACTAAAGCTGATTGGAGGAAACATCTCTGTTGCAGTTGATATCTGGAGACCATAACAAAAGCAACGTATAACATCAAAACCAACCATCTGAACTATTAGCATTGTTGCTTTACTCTTTTTTCGTGGTTGAGTCTCCTTCAAAAAATTTAGTTTGATCTTAGAAAATTTTGCTTTTGCAGTCCTGTCTTGCCACCAACGCGTTCAGTAGATGGAGATGGCAGAGGAGAAGGCTATTTTTGTGTTGTTGTTGCTGGTTTAGGGATCGGTTTGTGAAGAAGAGGGAGAAGAGAGGGGGAAAGGGAAATGCAGGAGAGGGGGATAACTCTTTTCTCCGACAAAAATGGAGTGAAGAAAGGAATTATGATCAGTAAGGATATGGTTATCTTACATAACGGTCTCTATTCTGTTTGAATTGAGCTTGGGAGGCAGTGATAAGGACGAGCTGCAACCAATTCATAGTGATAAGAGTGCTATGAACTGTGATCAAGTCTTATTTCAAGTTAGAAGTTAGTTTCAGTATAAGGATTATTTAATTTGACAAGTTGTTTTGTCCATGATTCTTGGTAGTTTCAGGGCCATTCTAGTCATTGTTTAGTCTGTAATTTTTGAGAATTGATGTGCGAGTAATGACTTTCACTTAGCTTCAACTATTATGCGTGTATTTATTGGCATGTGATAGAATTCTCTTTTCATTTTCTTTGAATTCAGTTTCATACTCTAATTGTATCATTTGTACATAGGCAAATCATGCTCGAGATGACAACTCGCTGATATGGCCGATGCAAGGAATGAAGCCATCATTAGAATTCAGACTGAAAACGGGGAGGGATGCCCAGGACTAATTCAATGATGATGGTATAATAAAAACTGTAGTCTGCATCAGCACCAATTTCTAGGCCTAAGTAAAGTTATTCAACCCAGAACTCTGTTTAGCGCTAAAAATTGCCTTCACCCAACCTTGATCCTGTTTGACCCACTTTTGAAGAGTCAAGATATATGACTAATCCTCTCCGTTCGTATTTTCTTATTGACTCTTTCTGACCCTTTATGTTGGGGCGGGCCGGGAAGAATCTGATTAGTGGGTCGGTCCTAATCAAGTGGAATCCCAATCCCTTCACTCTCACTTGCTTTCTCTCTCATTCTACAAGTGGGTAACATACAGTAATCCGGCCAACGGGCCGGGTAATAAGCTAGTTCATTTGAAAGAGAGCAACCGTTTTTCCCTTCATGCATGTATTGCGTAGATTAAAGCTCCCCCGTCTTCTCTAGACTCCGCTTTGATATTTCCCGCCATTGCAGCAGAACAAAAAAGCTTCCTCCGCACTCCTTTTCTATTCCACTCCGCTCCTCAATTTCCTATGGCACCAGTTCGACGACTGTGAAATCTCCGCTGAAATTGTACTTGTTTGTAATCTGCTTGGAAAATGGAAAATCCTGTTGAAGTGGTAAGAATCAAGTTGGAAGATTGCCAGATCACCAATCAAGGGGGAGCGGATCAATCAACCATGATTCAAGGGCCAGCTGCTCAACTTACCTTCTCTGCACAATTTCAAACAGCAACGGCTCCTACAACGACTACTTAAAGGAGCAGCAGGGGAAGGTCTCGGCACTGAAGCAAACAGGGATTCCTTTGTTGCAAAGGGCTAGGGATTCGGTTTGGGATCAGTGGCTTTGAATCAAGCTGAGGAATAGGTTCAACTTGATCAAAGGGTGTAAAGAATTCCTGCGCGAATTCTGGTCTGAGTCTTGTGGCATTTTGATTTTCTCACCAGAGTCTGTATGGTCTTTTGTTTGTTCGTTGCTTGAGTCATAAAACGAAAATCAAAGTGTCTCTTAGGATAGTGGTACTATCCTGGGACGAGGAGTAGCCCTGTGGCGAACCTCGTTAACAATTCTCTGTGCACTTTACTTTCTGCTCTGTTTCATTCCTCCTCTCCTTGACTCTCTGTTCTGCAATCCTCTGCTCGTCTCTGGCTTGGTGAAGAAGACGATCTATTCTGTCCCTTCTTCTCCGAGCTTGGGCCGAGACGGTTTCAAGGTCTGGATCAGTCTTAATGATCTTTGGGCTTGATTCTCTAAAGCCCATTCGACCTGACTCGTGTCCAGTTACTAAAGCGAGTCATGGGTTCCGACCAATTGGTTCAAACCGGTTCAACGGTTAATTGAGTCTTTGAAGTCAAAATCCCTAATTACCAGTTCATTTCCTCTTCATTTCAATAGTTCTCTGATTACAAGTGGTATCAGAGCCTGGTTCTTGATCGGAGCTTGCTACTGCCAAGGAAAGATCCAGCGCAATGGCCTCTACAAATTTCGGTCATGCATCGTACAATCATCCGCCGGTCTTCACGGGATCAAACTACACCGCCTGGAAAAAGAGAATGAAGACTTTTCTCTGGGGCGTGGACGAAGAACTATGGATCGTTGTTCGCGATGGACCGCTCGAGATGGATGCGGATCAACAGAACTTCTGGTCAGCGGCTCAAAAGAAGAGCGCTCAGCTGAATCAAAGGGCCATGCACATCCTGCAAACGGCCATGTCACCCGAAGAGGCAGATAAGGTGGAACACTGCGAAACTGCTCAAGGAATCTGGAGCTCGCTGGAAAGCACCTACGAAGGGTCGACAAACATCAGGGAAACCAGAATCGATCTCCTGGTTCACGAGTATGATTGCTTCGACATGGCTCCAGGTGAGGGAATTCATGAGATGTACTCTCGATTTACTCTTCTGATTAACAAACTGAAAGGTCTAGGAAAAACCTATCTTGCTAAAGACCTAAATAGGAAAATTCTGAGATCTCTTCCTATAGAATGGCTTCCTAAGAGAACAGCCATAGAGGAAGCTCGTAATTTGAACACCTTGTCTATAGATGAACTTGTAGGATCTCTGCTAAGCCATGAACATGTTCTTAAACAGGTTAACAAAGATGATGAAAAAGAAAGAAATCATTGGCTTTTAAGTCTCAAGTTGTAGAATATGAGTCTGATTCTGAATTAGGAGAAGATTTTGAGAAGGAATTTGCTCTGGTCAGTAGCAAATTTCATAGAATGTTAAAGTATAAACAAGAACAAAAACAAAAGGGAAATGAGAGAAACTCTTATAATCGTTCTAACCCTTTTGACAAAGTCAAAAGCTTTTCTCAAAATAGGCTGCGAGTCCCGCAGACCAGATCTTTTGAAACAGGCAATCAAGAAAAAGAATCTCAAGACTGCTACAAATGTGGGAAGCCTGGCCACATCAGGGCCAACTGTCCACTCACCCTAAAGGCAAAAGAACGGGCAATGAAGGCCACCACCTGGAGTGATTATGAATTTGAAGAAGAAGAAGATCAAAGAGAAGAAGAAGCTTTCATGGCCTTTGGTAAGATAAATGATTCAGAACTAAACTTCAAATCAGGTCAGAATTCTTCTCCCTCCTTAGCTGATTCAAAATGGTACCTTGACAGTGGATGTTCTCATCATATGTCTGGAAAGAAACATCTATTTAGCTCTTTAACAATGAAACGTGGAGGAAAAGTAACCTTTGGGGATGACAGTCAGGGTGAAATTATTGGATCTGGTTGCATAGGAAACAGTTCCTTAACTGTGATAAATAATGTTCTTCTAGTAGATGGACTAAAACATAATCTTCTATCCATAAGTCAACTCTGTAGCAATGGAAATCGTGTGATGTTTGAAAATGATAAGTGCTCAGTTGAACAAATTAATGAAAATAAAATTATTCCGATAGGAAAAAGAATATACAACATGTATGTTGTTGATTTGACTGACTCAAGCATGCTTAATCCTAAATGCCTTAAGTATCTTCTCAATCATCCGAATTTCTGTGGCATAAAAGACTAGGACACATTAGTTTGGCTAAGTTGTCTACTCTATCTAAAAACAATCTGGCTAGAGGGTTACCTAAGCTAAAAGACAAAGCAGAATTTTTCTGCAATGCATGTGCTGCCGGAAAACACAAAAGAAAGAGCTTTAAACCAAAACCTGACATCACTACCACTGAAACTTTTGAATTAATCCACACGGACCTATTTGGTCCTTATAATGTCACTAGCCTAGGGGGTAAAAATTATGTATTTGTCCTGGTTGATGACTACTCTAGGTACACCTGGGTATTCTTCTTAACTCACAAGGATGAGACTTTTGAGAAATTTCGTTCATTTGTCACTCAAAATAAACAATCCTTGAAAACCATAAGAAGTGACAATGGGGGAGAATTTATTTCTGATGAATTTGCTGAGTTTTGTGATGAAATCGGAATTGTCCATACCTTTTCTGCTCCTCGCTCACCTCAACAGAATGGGGTTGTTGAGCGTAAAAATAGAACTCTGATAGAATGTGATAGAACAATGCTATTAGATTACCAACTTGGTGAAGAAGACGATCTATTCTGTCCCTTCTTCTCCGAGCTTGGGCCGAGACGGTTTCAAGGTCTGGATCAGTCTTAATGATCTTTGGGCTTGATTCTCTAAAGCCCATTCGACCTGACTCGTGTCTAGTTACTAAAGCGAGTCATGGGTTCTGACCAATTGGTTCAAACCGGTTCAACGGTTTATTGAGTCTTTGAAGTCAAAATCCCTAATTACCGGTTCATTTCCTCTTCATTTCAATCGTTCTCTGATTACAAATCCCTCAGCATCGATGGAAGCTCAACGCAGAAGAAGGAAGAAGCTCTCTGATCGCAGCAACACCCTTGTACCCGTCGGCTCCTCTGCAAGCTGTTCTTCCACTTCGTCTTCCTCTTACCTTCTCAAGAAACCCTTGAAATCGTTTCCCTCCTCTTCGCAGCTTCTCCATTCCCGCGACAATCCGAATCCCACTGAGACCCATCTCGATAAGGTTCCATCCACGGCCGGATCCACTACCAGCGCGGTTCTAGGACCCTCCACTTCCACGCCTGCTCGCCCACAGCGCAATCAATCCTCGACCGTCGGTAATTTTGGGTTTTCTCTTCCGCCTTCGTCGATTTGCTTGTTCTGAAATCGGTTTTGGGAACCTAGGGTTTTGTCGGATTTAATTTTTCCGTGGTTAGTTCCTCATGCCTGAAAGTGTATCAGGTGGCGATGATGTTTGGGAGCCGTCTCCGGTTTATGTTCGGAGGAAGTCCGGAAGCAAAAGGAAGGACAAGGAGAAGGCAATTGATGTGCCGGCTATAAAGAGTCAGTCTAGCAGGTATGTTTCTGTTGGGGATTAGCGGAAATGTGGTATGATTTAGGATCAACACAAAGGAAACATATGGTGTTTAATCACTCGATTTAAAATAGACTCAAACAAACAATGCCTTATACTTTTGGCTATTGTTTTGAACAATCAGAGAAGATGCACTTGGCACACTTGTGCCTTTTTTTTTTTTTTTCTTTCTCTGACACTACACTTCCACTCCCATACGTACAATATATATATATATGGAAAAAGAACAATCAATGGCAATTACTACATAGGTCCATGTATACATTATTTTGGCTCCATCTTTCCTTGACATAATTGTAAGCTTATCCTTCCACCATTGATTAATTGCTGCCATGAGATGTGTCTGTAGGAAATCATCTACATTATTTGGATGTTCAAACATCTTCTCACCATGTGGACTTGTTGGATTGCATATAATTTGATAGATAGTTTCAACCCATGAGATAATGTGTTTGTCTCTTTGAGTTGATGGCCATGGGGCATAGTTTGGTGATGATTAATTACCAATTGCAAATTACCTTTTAACACCCCCTCTTAATTTGCAATTTGAAGTTGCTCCTTGAACTTCTCGAATTTCTCACGGGTAACCGCCTTTGTCATGATATCTGCTGGCTGGTCGTCGGTGTTGATAAATTCCATCACAATTTTCCCGTCGTTGACGAGGTCTCGGATGAAATGATGACGCAACTCGATATGCTTCGATCTTGCGTGAAATACTGGATTCTTTGTCATGGCTATGGCCGACATGTTGTCACAGTGAATAATGGTTGGACCATTTTCACATTGCTGCAAATCAGAAATTAATCTTTTTAGCCATACCGCTTCGCATGCTGCATCTGTAGCTGCGATATATTCTGCTTCCGCTGAGGATAATGCCACAGTCTTCTGCTTCTTTGAACTCCAGGAAATGGGTTTTGAACCCAGGCAGAATATGTACCCCGATGTGCTTTTTCGATCATCCAGTGATCCTGCCCAGTCACTATCGGTATATCCAGTCAGCTTGCTTTCTGCTTCTTTCTTGTACGTCAGGCCCAATTTTTTAGTACCTTGAAGATACCGCAAAATTCTTTTGGCTGCTGCAAAATGAAGTTTGCTAGGTTCATTCATAAATCTTGATATAAGACTTACTGAATGACATATATCCGGCCTGGTATGTGTCAGGTAAATGAGTGACCCGACAAGACTTCTGTACAGCTTTCCATCGACTTTTTCAGCTCCATCATTGATTTGTAATTTCTCGTTTAACGCCATCGGTGTTGAGATTGGTTTGCATGTTGCCATGTGAAATCTTTTCAGCATATCTTCGGTGTACTTCTCCTGTGAAATAAATATTTCTCCAGGTGACTGCTTCACTTGGATCCCAAGAAAATATTTCATGACTCCCAAGTCCGTCATCTCGAATTCTTTCATCATGGTACTTTTGAATTCTTCGATCATATGTTGATTTGTACCTGTATAAATCAAGTCATCAACATACAAACAAACCATTAGAAAATCTTTTTCTTCTCCCTTTTTGATGTAGAGAGATGCTTCACTCGGACTTCTTTGAAATCCGTTTTGCTGAAAATATCGATCAATTCTGCTGTTCCAGGCTCTCGGTGCTTGCTTTAGCCCATATAAAGCCTTTCGGAGACGATAGACTTTGTCTTCTTCTCCTTTTTTCTCATAGCCTCGTGGTTGTTCCACATAGACTTCTTCTTCCAGTTCTCCATTCAAAAATGCTGATTTGACATCCAGCTGGTATACTGGTAACTCCAGTTGAGCAGCTAGAGCGAGAACTGTTCTGATGGTCTCCATTCTCGCTACGGGTGCATATGTCTCGTGAAAATCAATACCGGGCTGTTGTGAATAGCCCTTTGCCACCAGTCGAGCTTTGTACTTCTGGATAGTACCATCTTCATTGAATTTGATCTTATAGATCCATTTGAGACCTATAACCGGCTTGCTCTCCGGTTGATCAACAAGCTCCCATGTCTTGTTTTTCTCGATCATGGAAATTTCTGCATCCATTGCCTCATTCCAAACTTCATCTTTGGCTGCTTCTTCAAAGACTTGAGGCTCACAAGAAAAATATGCAACATGACTTGTTTCATAAATTTCTCGCAAAGACCTTGTTCTCAACGGAGGTGAATCCGAGTCTGTGACGACGTCTCTGAAGTTGTCTCCTTCTGGGCTAGGTGCAGAATTTCTTTCTGGACTAGCAACTGGATCTAGGTCGTTGCTGGTGTCTTGTGGAGTTGTTGAGTCCTCCAGAATTTCATAACTTGGTGGAGATTGAGAAATTGGATTTTCCCAATTCCACTCCGCCATCTCATCAAAGATCACATCTCGGGAAACCACCACTTCGTTCTTTACTGGGTTGTAAAGACGATAGCCTTTGGATTCATCACTGTAGCCGGTGAAGATCAGCTTCTCTCCCTTCTGGTCAAACTTGTCTCGGTTTGGGGTAGAAATATGTGCATAAGCTATGCACCCAAAGACTTTGAGGTGATCCACTTGTGGCCTCCGGTGGTGCCACGCATGTATCGGTGTCTTGTTCCGAACTGCTTTGGTTGGTGATCTGTTGAGGATGTAAATTGTCGTGTTGACTGCTTCTGCCCACAAATTGTTGGGTAGCTTTTTTGCTTTGAGCATACTTCTCGCCATCTCCACAATCGTGCGGTTTTTCCGTTCTGCCACGCCATTTTGTTGTGGTGTGTAACGAACCGTCAGCTGCCTTTTTATCCCGTTGTTGCGGCAATACTCCATGAACGGAGTATAAATAAATTCTCCTCCGCGATCTGTACGGAGAGTTTTGATTTGATGGCCACTTTCCTTCTCAGCTACTGCTTGGAATTGAAGGAATTTGGGAAAAGCTTCTGACTTTTGCTCCAGAAAGAATACCCACATCATTCTGGTGAAGTCATCTACAAATAGTAGAAAGTATCTTTTACCGCTGAGTGATTGTGTTCGAGTTGGACCACATATGTCTGCATGTACCAACTCCAGTGGCGCTTTTGCTCTCCAAGATGTCTTTGGAAATGGCAAACGATGCATTTTGCCATATATGCACCCTTCGCAGATTTTGTCTTCTCTGTTGATTTGGGGAAGTCCCACCACCATATTTTTCTGCCTAAGCAATTTGAGGCCTTTGAAGTTGAGATGACCGTATCTGAGATGCCATAGGAAGGATTGATCCAGATTTTCACTCTTGAATGCTACTTCACCATTTTGTGACATAGCAAGAGAGAAAATTCTGTTGGAAGTCATCGGGACTTTGGCCACCATGAAATTGTCTGCTTTGTTGATAATCTCGCACACGCCATTATCAAACAATAGCTTGTAATTTTTCAGCATCAGTTGTCCCACGCTAAGTAGATTGAGAGTTAGCTCCGGAACATACAAAACATCTCGGATGAGAGTTTTGTTACCTTCTTCTGTGCATACAACAACTGTGCCTTTTCCTTCCACTTTTAGCTTCTTCCCGTCTCCCAATTTGACTTGAGAGCGGTATTTGTCATCGATGTCGGTGAAGGACTCCAGATCTCCAGTCATGTGGTTACTGCAACCACTATCCACCATCCAGGGAAGCTGTGATTTTTGCTCACCATTCAAGCATGATAAGGCCACCATATTGCTTTCTTCATTTTTGGTGCCGCTTGATTCGCCTTCTTCTTGCTTGTTCTGGAACCAGCAATCTCTCTGGGAGTGGTTTTGAATTCTGCACTTGGTGCACTTGAATCTGCAGTCTTTTGTTGCATGACCCGCCTTTTTGCAAATTATGCAACTCGAGCCGGTGTAGCCCGATCTTTGTTGTTGATAATTTTGTCTGTTGTTTCCTCTGTAATTGGATCTTCCTCTTCCTCTTCCTTGTGAGTTTCCCCCTCTCTGGCCTTGCTCCGATTTGGCATATTTACTTTCCGTCATGTTGACTTTTGACGAGAAAGCTTGCTCCAATGGCGGTTTGGTGAAGCGACTCATTCTTTGCTCGTGTGCTACAAGTGAGCCCATCAACTCGCTCATTGGTAGATTTGCCAAATCTTTGGTTTCTTCAATGACAGCAACAATATGCTCGAACTTTGATGACAAACTGCGGAGAATTCTCTCCACAATTTTTCTTTCTTCCATGACGTCACCAGTGGCTTTGATCTGGTTGACTGTCTCCGCCACACGCGAATGGAAGTCTTTAATGGTGTCGGTTTCCTTCATCATCAAGTTGTCAAACTGTCGCCATAAACTTTGTCGCCTGATGGAGATCGCCTTTTCAGAACCTTGGAATTGTTCACGCAAGACATACCAAGCTTCTTTGGCCTTTTTGATGCCATAGATTCTCGGGTAAATCGATTTGCTCACTGCTTGCTGAATTATTCTCAAGGCGCTGGCATTTTGCTTGGCATTCTCCTTGTACTCCTTTGTCTGTTTGCCTGCTCGTTTCTTGGAATCTTCATCCTCGTCTTGTGGATCTTCGTAGCCTTCTTGGACGATATCCCAAAGATCTTGAGAGATGAAAATAGGCTCCATTTGGGCACTCCAGTACTCGTACAATTCTCCATCGAAAATGGGAATTTGATTTGATGATGTAGCAAACATGGTGTGTGATGAATTTGTTGCCATGGCTTTTTGAGAAAATTGGGTAGGCTAGAAATTTGGGGATTTTTGAGAGGATAGAAGGGTATTAGCTCTGATACCAAATTTGTTGGGGATTAGCGGAAATGTGGTATGATTTAGGATCAACACAAAGGAAACATATGGTGTTTAATCACTCGATTTAAAATAGACTCAAACAAACAATGCCTTATACTTTTGGCTATTGTTTTGAACAATCAGAGAAGATGCACTTGGCACACTTGTGCCTTTCTTTTTTTTTTTTTCTTTCTCTGACACTACACTTCCACTCCCATACGTACAATATATATATATATGGAAAAAGAACAATCAATGGCAATTACTACATAGGTCCATGTATACATTATTTTGGCTCCATCTTTCCTTGACATAATTGTAAGCTTATCCTTCCACCATTGATTAATTGCTGCCATGAGATGTGTCTGTAGGAAATCATCTACATTATTTGGATGTTCAAACATCTTCTCACCATGTGGACTTGTTGGATTGCATATAATTTGATAGATAGTTTCAACCCATGAGATAATGTGTTTGTCTCTTTGAGTTGATGGCCATGGGGCATAGTTTGGTGATGATTAATTACCAATTGCAAATTACCTTTTAACAGTTTCTGATTTAGGGATAACTTCTGTTTTCGGACTGTGATTAGAGAAGTGCAAATACACTGATTAGATTGGTAAAACCAACTGCAAAATTGAAATGGCAGTGGCAAATCTCTATACTCTTGGAAGGTAGACATAATGGAACGGAAAAGATGTGGAGACGAGTTTAGAAAATTTATATCAGGTTTTCTATTCCCTGTTGAACAGTGGGCAGTGTAGTTGGAGCAGTATTTTGGATCTTATGAATTGTTCTGTATCACCTTCCATTAGAATAAGCGCAACAGTTTTATCGCATTTGCTATGTTCTGAAGCATGAGCGTTTTTCTTTGTTGCGTTTCCTGGGAACTACTGAAGTTTTTGTTGTTTATTGTAAGCTCTGCAAACTAGATATCATTTCAATTGGTATTTGATGTGAATGTTATTCTGCTCTTAGTGGATACTTTGTTTTTTGAATTCCTTTTTCGCTGCTGCTGATTCTTGGTCTCACTGATTGAATGCAGGGACAAAGCAAATGAAGATGGAGGTGCTGGTCAGTCCAAATCATTGCTGGTACCTCATAAAAAGGTAGGATACTCTGGTTCTTGTATTGTGGAAACTAGATTTATTCTTTTGGCTTTGTGATCGGCCTTTTATTCAAACGTGTGGAGGACTGATGGAGTTGGCTGGCTTTAAAATGTTTTGGGAACAGCTTCTGCATCATCCATTCTGTGTTACCTATGCTTGTGTACTGTAGTGCACTCATCGTTTGAGTTACATTTACCCTCTTAGTGCTTGGTTCGTTCTGTGTTACTTTGAGCTTTAGTGTTCTCTTTCTGCTGAAAGTACCTTCTTCTTCTTGATTCTTGCATGTGTTCTCTTTTTCCATCCGGTTTTTAGTTGCTGAAATTGGGGTTTCCTAGGTTTGCTGTTTTCTTCTTCTTCTTTTATGCGGTTCTTGCTGAGTTTGTCTGAAACATCTTTTGGCTGCTTTGCTTATCATACTTCTCAATGTTGACATACAAATTCTGGCTTGCTAAATGTCGCCCTTGAAATTGCTACAAGTCGCCCTAACTTAAATATAAAATTACCTATATACCCTTAAGGAAAAACTCAAAATTGGCTTAAACAAACAAGTCCTTATTCACAAAATCACTCCTCCTCCTGCAACCTCTCACCCGCCGCCGACTTCATCCTCTGCAACTCGCCGTCGCCGGCGACCTCTGCACTTCTTCCTCTGCAACTCGCCGCCACCGGCGACCTATGCATATCGCCACCGCCCCCGCACCCGCCGCCGCCGCCCGCAATCGCCCGCCGCCGTCGTTCCTCCCTCGCCAGTAGCCGCCAGCAGCCGTAGCCAGTCGCTCGCCGCCGTCGCGAACGCCGCCCATCGCTCCGTCGCCTCGCCGCCGTCGTTCCTCGCGTCGCCTGCCTCTGTCGTTCCTCAAGTCGCCTGCCGCCGTCGTTCCTCAAGTCGCCGGAGAAGAAGGTATGACCGCTGCAACTCCGCGGTTTGACCAACGACTGACCGCGGTCAACCCGCGATTGGACCGACGGTCAACTGCGGTCAACGCACAGTTCAGCCAACGGCTGATCGCGCGTTGGCCGCTTTTTTTTTTTAAATTTTGTTTTTAAATTCTGGTTTTTATTATTCAATAAATGCTAATAATAATAAAAATTAATTAAAAAATATATTTAATAAAAATAATTTAGTTACATATTTTGTCAATAATGATTTAAAAGTTTAAAAAACGTATTCGATAAATGTTAATTAATGATAACAAATTTAAAGAACATTATAAAAAATTAAAAATATATTTTAATCATTTTAATAATCAAAATTTCAAAGTAATTCGTTTATCTAATTAATTATTAATAATTTTACCTTGATTAATTATTTACTTTTATGTAAATAATGATTACATAGACCGTAACATAAATGTTGAAACTATTAATTTTATAATTTTAATTATGAAAATCTTAAATTAATTACTTTATGTACTTTATTATTAATAATTCAAACTTTTTTTTGAAGATGTCTGGACATGGAATGGGTAAATCGGATATGATTATGGTGAGAAATAAGGAGAGAATGGAACGTCGTGCTTGTAAACTTACGGCGACTGGTAGGAAGGAAAATGAAGAAAAAAATCCACCTAAGGTTAGAAGGAAGAAGAACAAGGCGGATGTAGTGCGTCCTGACGGCCACCCTATTGTGGGGCAGTTGTCTCATAGTCGAGGTACTCCCAGTACTCCTACACCAGATAGCGCACCGGTATGGCAGGTTAATTGGAGTGATTCCATTGACGAGGATGATGATGATGACGGTGATGCTGAGGTTGGGAATGCCCCAGATGCTGGTGATGATGCTGGTGATCGTGCTGGTGATGCTGAGGTTGGGGATGCCCCACCTCAAGCTGATTTAGGCGTGGGGAAGATGGCGCGGGTCGGGATATCTTCTACTGCCTCCTCCCACTTCCGTGGGCCCGATGGACGCTATGCGTCCAGACCTAGTAGCGAGGATGCCGAAGATGGAAATAGGAAGAGGAAGACCACGAGGAAAGATATGTCGTGGTTTCTTACAGCCGAGTCTCCGATGTGTTCAGGTGGACCAGTGATTCCCGATGTGATCCCTAGCTTTGGAGGTCACATTGGCTTTGTACTGTGGACTTCCCCTGAGCAGGACCGTGGAGTGTTGGACGGCTTCCATAGGCCGAAAGCTGTAGAGACTTTGAGGCGATATAAGTGGAGTGCAGAGGGTTCCAAGGAGATGGTTGAAGCCACAGGATTGTCTCACTTGACAGGGTGCATGATGCAGCATTTAGACATGTCTCTATTGTCGGCATTTGTGGAGAGGTGGCAGCCGGACACAAACACCTTCCACATGCCGTTTGGAGAGATTTCGATCCTTCTACACGATGTGCATCACATTCTTCGGATACCGGTTGACGGAGAGCTGATGGGAGATGAGGCCTCGCCGGATACTCTTAAGTCAGACATGGGTGGTCTAGTTCGACTTTCGGTGGATGCTCAGGTTGGTGGTAAGTGGAAGTCTAAGTGGTACGATAATGGTGCTATGCATGCAGAGGGATTGTTGGTGCGTGGGGGAGAGCTGAAGATTAAGGAGATGGAGGTGCAGTGTTACCTATTTGTGTTACTGGGATCCACGCTTTTTGTGGATAAGAGTCGTGATCGCCTTCGTCCTGCGATCAACTTGTTTCTGAAGGATCATCGACGATTGACTGATTACGCTTGGGGAGCTGGTGCACTAGCCTATCTCTACAGACAGTTGGGAGTGGCCACACGAGCGGGTAGTAAGAGTCTTTGTGGTTGTTTGACCCTGCTTCAGGCTTGGATATATGAGTACTTTCCTCTATTCCGTCCGAGCCAGCTGCCGCAGTCTCCGGATGCACCTCGTGCTTCCTCATGGATTTCTCCCCGTTTGCCAGGTGGGGATGAGGCTAGACAGAGGTTAGCACGTTATCGACAGTTGTTGGATGAGCTTTCAGCTGATGATGTGACCTGGACTCCGTACGGACGAGATGGCCACACAGATATACCTCGCTCCTTGTATACTGGCCCCATTCGCTTTTCTGACATTGCTGAGGGATACGATCCTGCACGTTGTCTGCGCCAGTTTGGATACCGACAGATTATCCCCTGTGCTATGACGGTACCACATGACCAGTACCGTCCGGCTTCCGGCAGCAGTTACATAGTCTATTGGGATTCGTGGGTGAATCAGTTGTGGGATAACGTGGCAGCCCGTCGTCTAGATTTGAATTTTGCTTCTCGGCCGTGCGAGCACCCATCGGAGACTGTGGAAGAGTACGTTGACTGGTTTCTGACTAGATCGCACCCACGGATCACCCACCCCACTGATGGGGTGCCTCAGCTTCGACCACTACTAGTTCATCAGGTTAGTTATGACTTTCTTTTGCTTTTCCAAATATAAAGGACATTTGTTATTTATTCTAACATTGTTTTCTATTTATAGTTGAGAGAGCAGATTGTGGATCGTTTAGGTCCCGTGTTGCTGACGAGGGACCGGAGTAAGTGGGAGGAGGACGGTGGTAAGTTCTATGATATGGTAGCTGAGGTTCACGAGTTGTACGACCAGTTGGTAGGGCAGCCGCCTCAGTAGACGATTGTGTTTTTTTTTGTCATCGTTTGTAGTTGAACTGAGACTATTGTTTTTTTTTATTTGTCATCGTTTGTAGTTGAACTGAGACTATTGTGCTTTTTATTTGTCATCGTTTGTAGTTGAACTGAGACTATGGTGTGTTTTATTTGTCATCGTTTGTAGTTGAATTGAGACGATTGTGTTTTTTTACTTTAGTTACATTCAATGCATTGCTAAAATAGTTAATCAACATGGTAGATTACTAAATGTTTCAACAATAGAGAGTTATATAATTCGTAATAATACTTCCAATCGTCATCCCCGTGGGTTCAAACCAAGGTTGTCAAACCGGTTTATGCCAGTGTGCCGGTTTAGCAAGTGAAATGGTTCAACCGGTGGCACATACCGGTTTGTGCCGGTTCATGCCGGTCAATATTACAAATAAAATTATAAATACTCAGACATTTAACGTCAATACCTAAACATTTATACCTGAATCCAACAAATAACATCAATATTTAACTTTTATACTCATAAAATAATTTTTATCAACTAAATTCTCTAAAATAAAGTCATTTTACTTAGAGATTATCATGCCGGTCATACCGGTGGTGTCACGCCGGTTTTATGACCGGTACCGGTTGAACCCGGTACAACCGGTGGCACGCCGGCCGGCGTGACAACCATGGTTCAAACTATCATAAAGCGCACGCTCATGTAAGAAGAATTGATCCCACCCATTGACACTAGGGTCATGAAAAATAGGCCAAAGGCCATTAATTGGTGGCATGGGCACTTGATCATGTCGAAAGTCAAGTCGCACCTAATAATCCCCCGTAAAATGTAGTGATAAGATCCCACGTGGTCTTGTTACTCCTGGTGGGGCCGTCACAGGTAGCACGGTATAACGACCGCCTTCACTGTGTACAACGATAGCCCATGAATGCAAGGTGGGGAAGACGAAGAGTTCCGCATTATCCATCCAGTTGGGAGGTCCACAAACACTTGTTGATGCCCACCTGCAACGTCGAATGCCATTTTCTATTCCATTTGCTATTCCATCATAGTAGTCTCTATAAAGCTCAGGACGGGATTCAAGCTCCTCTACAACAGCGCGTCTCATTTGTGGCCAATTCCTTTGGTCCCCAGTAAATGTTTGTGATATAGCTCGAAATCCACAGTGTCCATCTGGAATAGGGTTGAACCAACCACGAACTAGTCGTTGCACATAGGATTTCAAACAATGTAGCCATGAGTAATTCTTCCAACTAGTATTGGGAATCCGAGCAACCCTCCACGGGGCACCATCTAGCCAAAGAGAATAACACAATAAATTAATATAAAGAGTTATACAATATGTTTACCCGAAATTAGGAATATAATTTCTAACCTGTATCATTATGGATCACCGGCTCCGTCCCATTCTCGAAGTTGGTTTGTGCATTCACATTCGGGGCACCACCTATCTCATTTAAAAAAATAGATTAGTTGTACACTATATTGAGGACAATTGAACACAGCTAATAGAAAAAGTTAATCTACCTGTATTTCCATCATTGTCCGGAGTTGCAGTCGGAAGTCTTGAACTTCTCCTCCCTCGTCTCCTCTCCACATGCTCGAAGTGAGATAGGTTTCGAGTGTGGACGTCCTTGGGCGACCGGGGCGGGGCTGTCCCCCATGCGGTTCATCAATGCCATCATTTTCAGGATGAAGATGGCTCCGGAGTAGGCCGATTGCACCTCGAATGGTCTCGTCGCCTCTATCAAGAACCTCATGTACTAGACATTGGAACACACCACGGTGGTAATCACTATGGTCATCCCACTCCGGCCGAGTAGGAGGTTCACGATAGTTGATAACGGTGAATGACAACACATCATACAAGGCGAAATCCCGATTTTCACGTAGTGCTAACTGAATGGAACATCTACATGGGAGACCATAGGTAGGAGGAAACATACATGTACAAGGTTCCCCTTCCACTGCTACCTCGAACAACATTAACCTCAGAGCTTCTAGAGTGACTTTCGTATTCAACTCTCGAAATGATTTTCCATCCGCTCGGAGCAGCTTCTTTTGTAGGGAATCCTCTAGAAGCTTCCTGATTTGAAGGTGTTGAGCCTCAATGTAATCATCATTCTTCTTGAATACCTACCCAAATGAAGAACAATTAGGAGACTACTAAAACTTATGTGTGTATCAATGAAGATTTATTAGGAGATTAACCGTGTCGACCGCGCCAGTAGATGATTGAAGCCACTTCTTGAAGGAGGAATGGGCAGCTTCAACCCTATTAGAGCTTGTGTTACCCAAATGCCGCACTTGATTGGTATAACATTTAGCCCACATGTGTCTAACTGGTAACTACTCAGCTGCCATATACCCCCAAAGACGTTGGTACTGTACTCCCCAACTACGTCTAAAATTGTCTAAGGCAGTATCCATGTCTTCCACTGTCAATGCATATACAGCACGTTGCCAAGACGCCATGATATGATCCACTGTCGGTTTAGCTGCATCTATACAACAATGAGTCGTCCTTCGCACCTCCGCTAGATACTTTGCTCTCACATTCCTATCTATATGCCAAAGACATAATATATGAGTCGATGATGGAAACATTACCCCCACGGTCTCAACCAATCCTCCTGCCTTGTCACTGACAAACACATCTGGAACAATGAGGCCAAGAAGATGTTGCAAATGCGCCAGAAGCCACTGGTACGACTCCTTCGTCTCGTCGTACACTATTGCAGATGCAATGACAAAGTTCAATCCCACTGGTGTCATGCCGACAATCTCAACCCAAGGCATATCATACTTATTGGTCTTGTATGTTGCATCTATCACGATCACATGGTGCAAAGCTCGCAACATCACTATTGACTCGGGGTGGGCTAGGAACAAGTGTGTAAGCACGTTAAGATTGTCCATATACTGCACATACTAACCCTTCTTCTGCGCCATGCGGAAAATATACTGTAAGGCTGTCATCTGACCAAGCTCTTCTTTCCTTATCTTGTGACACTCGTTATAAATCTGCTTTCTGTTGTGTGTTCCATTTGCACCTTTTCTGTCATTCACTGCCTTGTGGATATTCCTTGGTAGGACACCGGCTGATCTCAGCTCTCTGATGTATTGCTTATCCTCTGTAGCCAAAACATTCCTTCCCTTTGATCCCTCCGGAATAGCTCCAACTGATGATTGTGGAAACCCAAATTAGCACCAAGATTCTTTGTATTTGCCACCCCTAGGATCAACCAATATCCATCACCGGACCGCTCAAGGTTGATCTGAAACTCGCACCCCAACTTTTCAGTAGATGTAAGAGGTCTCCTTTCCTTACTCGGATCAGGTTCCTTCGACTTCTTCTTCCTACCATGAGTGCAATGTAAGTAATGTCGCCAAGTACCTTCATTCTTAATTTTTTTGTTCGATGCCCTCACCAAATAAAACCCAAAACCCTTGGCAATCTCAGTAGTTGCTTCATATGCTTGCAACTCCGTAGTGTATTTCACGCCATCAATGAAATCCGAGGTGTAATCACGACCATCCGGATTGTAACTTCCAATATCCTGCAATGTTATCAGAATTTATAAGTGATACCCCGCAAATTAAAAAAAAAACTTAACATTCTATATCGTCAATTTAACGAGTACCATATGATAAATTTAAAATTTCATAACTATATTAAATTTAATAATCATCATAACTTCATATGAGAATCTATTATTTATGCAATAAATTTAATCTTAATTTGTAATGCAAAATCTAATCTTAATTTTCTAGATTAAGACCAAATTAAATCTAATCTTAATTTAATGCCAAATCTAATCTTAATTTCTAATGCTAAATCCTTCAATTCCAAAAATAATTATGCAAATAAATCTAGAAAATTATATAAATCAAAACCCAACAAATTATTTCATGGAACAAATCATAAATCAAATAAAAAATAGAAAATACTGATTTGAAAAAAAAACCCATAAAATGCTGAATCGCAAGTGACCTGCGGTTGAACCATGGCTGAACCGTAAGTGACCTGCGGTTGGACCATGGCTGGACCGCAAGTGGACCTGCGGTCCAGCCATGGTCCAACCGCAGGTCACATGCGGTCCAGCCATGGTCCAACCGTAGGTCAAGTTAATGTTTTTACCTCGTCGGAGTCGCTACTCATGATTCAGACGTCCTACCGACGATATCGGCTTCAAAATAACGATGATGAATTTTTCTCTCCTTAGATAGTGTTTTTTTTAGTCCAAGTGATGTTTGTTTGAGGAAGGGAAGGTAAAGAAGCTAAGGGGGTTAAAAGTGTAACTTTGATACTTTTTAGAGCGACCTTTAGCAATTTTAAGGGCGATCTTTAGCAACTCCCTACAAATTCATTGTCCATTTCGTATTGTAGAAGACTCGCCACACAACAGATGTTCGTGATGACATTGAAGATAATAATTTCATTGAGCAACAGAGAGCATACTTTGCTGAAATTGATGCTTTTGAACTGCTAGAGGAAGAGGTGACTTCAACCGATGAGTTGGAATGAGCGGATGCAAGTAGATATGAGTAACTTCGTCCATCTAATTTCTTGTCAAGATACTGTAATGATGTCGAGAGGTGTATATAGTTCCAGTTTTGTTACCACCTGATCTGTAGATGGCCTAAATCCCTACCTACACGTTATAGTCCAATGCACAGAGATGAATGTAATGGCTTGAGTAGTTGAGTAGACTAGAGATTTGACTCTTATAATTTTCGTTAGTGGTAGCGGAGAAACAATTAGTTATCCAAAATGAGGCGCAGTACCTTTGTGGACCAGCAACTTTTCAGACTCTGCGCTGGGAAAATACAGTTCCATGTTCTCTTGAGAACTGACATACCTACTTTAACTTGCCTTCAGCATAATTTTCGAACTTCATTCATCCTCTCGATCGTTGTCTTACAAATAGATTATTAAGTCATTGTTTTTTCTATTCCCATCAACGTTCATTCGGATAGTTTCCGAACCAGCAAGCGGGGCTTATTTACGGATTTTTTTCAGGAATACCATTAAAAAAGAAAAAAAAATTCAAAAAAATTCAAAAAAATTACTAATTTTCAAAATTTTCCAAAAATACCACCATTTCTCGATAACCGCCTGGGTTGGAAGCAGTTTCATTGACCGCATGGGGTTAGGGCGGTTTGGTCCAAAATCGC